TTTGCTTCACTGAAGAAAGATTGATCATTTAATGAACACAGAAAGGTTAGATTTTGGCAAGATAAAAGTTTTGTCGCCTACAGAAAATTGAACAAATAATTTACTTCAAATACAAAAATATGTAGCACAATGTCAGTGAATTAAGTAGTGGTGCTGTGAGATCCATATTTAATATCTTGTATGACTTCCATGAGCTTGAAGGACGCATCCATGCGGTTCCACAATGATTCCTACAATTTGTTGATGAAGTCATCAGAAATAGCAAAGAAAGCGTCTTACATGCCTCCCAGAGTTCATCAAGATTCTTTGGTTTTGCCTTCCATGCTTCCTCTTTCATTCTACCCCAGACATGCTCAATGATGTTCATGTCTGGTGACTGGGCTGGCCAGTCCTGGAGCACCTTGATCTTCTTCACCTTGAGAAACTTTGATGTAGAGATAGAAGTATGCGATGGAGCACCATCCTGCTGCAAAATTTGACCCCTTTTATGGTTGGGAATGTAAGAGGTAGCTAATACTTCTTGATATTTTAGGCTATTGATATTTGCCTTCCACCCTGCAAATGTCTCGCACACCTCCATACTGGATGGAACCCCAGACCATGATTTTTCCGCCACCAAACTTAACTGTTTTCTGGGTGAATCTTGGATCCATGCGGGCTCCAGTAGGTCTCCTGCAATATTTGCGGTGGCTGTGATGTAATTCAACCGAGGATTCATCTGAGAAATCCACCTTCTGCCACTTTTCCAGTGTCCATCCTTTTAACAGGCTGTAGGCCTTGGCAAATGCCACACGGTTTTTAATTGCCTTTTGTTTAGTGATGGTTTCTGTGCACTGATTCGACCATCGAGGCCATTTCGAGACAGAATTCTACAAACTGTTGTGGCTGACACAGGGACTTGAGGTGACCAGGCCTGGTGGAGCTCTGCTGTAGTAGAAAAGGGGCTGGCCTTGGATTTTCGAATCAACAAATGGTCCTCCTGAGCAGTTGTCTTGCGGGGTCTGCCGGACCTGGGCTTGTCAAAAACATCTCCAGTCATTTCTGATCTTTTTCTTATTCTTTGTACTTGACGCTGAGACACATTGAAGGTGTCACCACCTCAGCAGTGGATCTGGTCTTCAGCCTCTTGATAATTAACACTTTGGTCTCAGGGTGGATCTTAGGCATGTTGTCAGGGGTCAAGTTGCAGTTGATGTGAAGGTCTGGTTCTGCTGGGGTTCTTTTTATACATACCCACTAATTGATTGATCAGTAACTGATCACAGGTGAGGCTGTAATCTAGGATTGGGTGCATCATATGATGAGGCGACAAGACTTTTGTCTTGCCAAAATCTGACCTTTCTGTGTTCATTAAATGATCAATCTTTCTTCAGTGAAGCAAATTTATTTTAGTTTATTGAGCATGATTTGGGAGGGTTTTAGCTTTCATATGAGACATTTCTAAAACCAATCGATTAATTTAAAGTCAGATTATAAGCTTTTGTTTCTACAAAATGGATAAGCGACAAGACTTTTGTCAGGGACTGTATTGTCATAGAATCATGCAGCCTCCTCCAGGTTATTGTGCGTAGTTAAAAAGAGATTGAGAGAGATACATGAACCATGAATCCTCTGATTGAACACAGGCTTCTGAAAATTTAAATATAATATAAAATCTTTTTTTTTTTTTTTTTACTTACAAACCCTTGGCCTTCTCTCAGTGACCTTCATGACGAGGTTTTAATTTCACAGCTGTGCCTTGTCAGGGTCAAGAAATGCCAAAATTGAAAATCAGTGATCAAAGCAAAGGGTGGCTGTTTTTTTTTTTTCTAATTAATTTTTTGTTTACGACATTCAATGTGTTCACTCATAGTTTTGATGTGAAAATCTACAATGTAAATACTCATGGAAATAAAGATGAAATATAAATGAGTTTAATGTCTCTATAAAGTATTAGTAAGTACCTTACCTGTGTGCTTATGTGCCCTGCAGATAGAACACTTGTGGGATCACTTCCAGTTACTCCTGCAGGAGGCAGAGAGCGCAGTGTGCCTGGGCCTTCCTGTCCATAGACAAACCCTGGACCTCCTCTTCTCCTTCTCCTTCTTTGATCTCATTCAAATGATGTCCCAACTCTCCCATGGAGCCTACCAGGACCCAGGGCAGGAGGCTGTGGAGATGTCATCCAGGCTTCATGTGCTGTGGACACATGTGCAGATGAGACAGGCCCGACTGGAGAAGCTCAGCTCAGACTGGAACCTGTTACAAGGTAACACTCTTCTCTATTTCACTTTCTTTGTCTAGAAATACTGTCCAACTCATGATGCTACCAGAGTAACCAGATGTACCACTAGAGGACAGTGTAATATCTCCAAATGTACAACGGCATCTGCCCAATGTGCTTTCTGATTTAGGCTTAGTTCTGGTGGGAGCTTAACAGGCTTCTCTAGAGAAGTAAAAGCCTGGTGCCCGACTGTATGCATAAACTATACAACTGCGGTGTACATACACGAGATTTCAGACTGTATGCTTGAATTGTAAGACTGAGATTAGTGATAAACAGCTCCGATTACCTTTAGTTCAGTAAAGATTGGCAATTCCAGGGCTGAAATTATTCAAATGATTCTAGTGAAGGTGTATGGAGTTTAAAAACACAGTGGAACACCTCCTGTATTACCACATGACATCACAAGGTGGAACTGAGTATTCTCTGTTTGAGAGAAGAGTTTGTGTGTTAAATAAACATGTGTGACTGAAACATTGCTCCTGGTATGTATGTAATGAGGAAACTACATTATAGAAAAAAGTGCTATATGGGCCCTTTAAACCAAATGTGAGATCTGTATGTTTTAATGAATCTGCTATACTTAATGAATGTAGTCACTGTATAACATTGCAAATACTGGTGTTAATTGTTAAGTTATAAATTGATGAAGAATGAGTTGAGTGTATTATCTGCACTGTATATTATGCTTTGTGATTATAGATGTTACACAAAAGTTTGGTACAAGCATCGCTGATATTTCCTAATTCAATTGTGCATTGTCCTAATACATAAACGGAATGTGGTCTGTGTCAGCAGAGATGCCCAAAGACCTGAGCAGACTGAGCAGAGCGGTACAGAAGGTTAAAGCCAGACAGGAGCTGTGGGAGGCCCTGGCCGATTCTGCAAAGTGGCTGGACAAATGGAAACTTGTGTTGTTTACTGAGGTAAGAACATGTTAAAACTCTTCTATAGCTTTTAGTCAGGCTTTCTGCAGATATGCTTTAAGATAAGTCTGGCATAATGTCATGTGCACATTGAGCCGCACACATTGTATTGTGACGGTCATGTTAAATGTGTGGCCATACCGGCTTGTCAAAGCCTGATCCTGTCAGATCTCAGAAGCTAAACAAGGCTGGGCCTGGTCAGTACTTGGATGGGAGACCACTGGGAAAATCAAGTGCCACAGGGGGGCGCCAGTCACCAAAACTGTCGTTGTGTCCTTAGGCAAGGCACTTCACCCACATTGCCTAGTATGAAAGTTGTGTGTGTGTGTGAGTTATGGTGGTGGTCAGAGGGGCTGATGGTGCCGATTGGAATGGCAGCCGCGCTTCAGTCATTCTGTGGCTACAATAGTAGTTTACCACCACCGGGTGTGGAGTGAATGAATAATGCTCTGTAAAAGCGTCTTTGTGACAAATGTCTGTGGAAAGCATTATATAAATAAAAACCTATTTACTTAAACAATTTAGTGCCTTTTTTGAGAATTGTTGCATCCCTAGCACATAACCCTCCTAAGGTAGGGGGTGCATAAATGTCGATGGTTGTTGGAGGGGCCAATGGCGCAGATTGGCAGCCTCACCTCTGTCAGTCTGTCCCAGATCATCTGTGGCTAGTAGCTTACCACAGTGGGTATGTAGTCAAGGAATAATGCACCAAGCAACTTTGAGCATGTGGAAGAGTGCTTTGTAAAACTAATGTATGATTATTATTACTAGTATCGTGCACAGCCCGTAATAAACAAACAATAAACTAATAAACAATAAAACTAATTAAAAAAGCAATTAACAAACAAATAAACAATAAATAAACAAACAATGCAACAAGTTATTGCTGACTACACTTCCCCGTGGTGTCATGTGACCCGTGTCATGTGACCTGTGTCGTGTGACCCATGTCATGTTCAAAGCTGTTGCAAGGAGACATGTGTGAGATTCATTCATTTTAAAAGATCTTTGACATTTTTGCCCTAACAACATGAAAATTGGCACTGCACACACCCGTAGCATTAGGGTGACACCCTTTGAATTTGAGATAAGTTGGATGAGTGGTTCGAGAGTTACGCATGGAAGTGACAAACAGGAC